TACACTGGGTTCCACTCCCACACGGTGGTTTTTTATGGAATTGGTTCAAAATGTGGCGGACGTGCGGCGCGAGAAGGGAGGTGCGTGGCAAATGACGTCTTTCACAATGGCGAGCTTGCTCAGGAGGCAAAGGGCGTTAAACCTCTATTATTCTTGCCAGGACCTCGGGTGAGGTGAGGCTTGTCAAGAATGCTAGCAAGATGCCGGTGGACACCTTCGTAAAAGGTCGTTTCGACTTCCAACGCGCGCAAAACACAAATGTGTTCCCTTGTGCGCTGCCATGGAGGTAGCCCTTTGACTTACACCAGTTCAGCTCTGTTTTGCCGCATGGGACTCAAGTGTCGCTGCTAATTGGCACGCGAAGCAGTCGGCAGGTTTATGCTCTGCTCGGGACGTTTGCCGTTGGATCCCCAAGGGATTCCAAAATCCAGCGGAACCGTATCCGGATACTCGTCCTATCCTGGTTTCGAGTCGTTCACCGCCGACGACACCGTCGATGGTCGACTCGTTTTGTTTCGTACGCACTACTTGTCGAGGTGACGGTATTTGTGCAATGCGCGGGCGTTGTAGCAGGTCGTCTGTCGAGGCCAACAATAGCATTTTGAACCTCCACTGTGAAAAACCTATTTTCATCGGGAGGCAGCCGCATGACGCTTTTGGGCAAGGACGCCGACCCTGCTGAAGTGACTGTGCATGCGACGGGTCTCTCTTCGTCCCCACCAAAATTAGCGGTCGGACGACAGCAGCACGTGAGCGTCGGTCAAATGCTCCAGCGCCAACACCGCGGTTCGTTCAGCGACGCGGAGCCCGCTGCGGTGGTAGCATCCAGTGGCACCGTTGCCGACATAAAGACGGCAGAGCCGGCACCAACATCCGTCATCACGCCCTCCGTCGTCCCCAAGCTCACGGACCACGTGCGCAACTTTCGTCAAGTGCTAAAAGAGCTGGTCGCGCAAGGGTAAACAACATATTTGCCAGTCTTTGTGCTTATATAAGTACACAGGGCCATTGTCACCAACAACAAGACACTCTACACGCAGCAAGGCAACTTGGCGTTCTACACGCGGGTGTGGCGTGTTTTCTCACAGAATTCTCACGTTTGTCTAGAAAAACGTCACTCGGCGTCTACAACTGCGCCGGCACCCGGAGCTCATTCGGCTGAGTAAGCTTTTCTGGGCGACCGTGGTGCCGCCCATGGTTGAGACAATGGACGTCCACCGCTACGAGCAAATCTTTCTCCGGATTCACAAAGTGCTGGCCAAGATCTATCGCGTTGAGGCCGGTGCCATCAACCTCGAGGTGAGTGGTTCGACTCTAGCGGATATCCAATGACAATTGGATTTATACCAGGATGACTGGCGACGCGACACGAACGGCGACTGTCGAGGCTTAAGCTACGAGCTTTTTCACGCAGCATTGTTTGAAACCATCGGTAGCGCGCATCCTCCAAAGCGCTGGAGAGCACTGTTTTCTTTGGCTAGATATCTGGTGCAACTCGGTCAAGGTCCAAGACGTACGATACCCTTGTCTCTATGGAGCTGTAGTGACGCGTTGGCGATAGTACATCAACCTCTTGGCATCGCTCCTCGACGGTATCACGCGCTTGAACAAAGAAGACGTCGCCTTTCTCAAATCTCTCCGAGGTATTAGCCCTACCCTCGTTCCTTCAAACACGCTAGGTGCTTGGTTTAGACATTCGCGCACTCGATACAAAAGTCCGACCTCTCTCAGCGCCGTCGGCGCGAACCAAGTCGACGTCGCCGACCAAACCGATAGCGGAAGAAGCACATTTTCTGAAAAAGATCAAGCCCGAAAAAGCCCCACCCCAAAGCGCCCCGCCACGTCGGTCGTCCAAGTCACCCACCAAGCCACTGGTGTCGAATCACGTTCCCACGACGACAAAAACAACCATCAAACTGTCACCGACCCGACTTGGTAGCGTTATTTGCTTGCTCAGGTCAAGAATACGTAAATCTACATTTTTCAGGGCACGCCACTGTCGCGACGCAAACGAGCCGAACGTCACTTCATGACGAAGCCCCGTCACCTCCAGTTTCCGAGTCGTTGAACGAAACATCGACGACGTATCTACCAACGACAACCAAGACAGCGTCCAGCGCGTCCAAGACACAACATCCAACAAGAAACAGTCTAGCCAAACCAACGAGCCGACCGAAAAAAAGCCCCTCCCGACCAGCAAGTCCACCCAAGAGCAGTCCCACGAAACTATCGCCAAGCCCACCCAAAGCGAAAGCGACGGAGTTGCTGCTGGACACTGTAGGCGACCGACAGCAAATGGTGCCGAGCCCTCCCAAGCCCGATGGCCCCCCCCGGCCGCGACCCAAATCGTCCCCGCTAAAGCGCAGTACACCGTTGGCGCCTCAGCAAGGATACAACAGCAGCATCGTGTACATCGACATCAACGGCCACGCGGTACCGCCGATCAACTTTGAGTTTGACGTCGACCAGCCGCCGATGGCGCGACCGCACTCGCCAATGCGAACTCGACCAGCGGCTCGCCTCGGGCTCTCGTCACCGCGACTGCCCGAAACCATCGAAATGGACGTTGAAGGGCACTGTATCGAGACGTCTACTGAAGACGCCCCGCGCCGCGTCGCCGTGTGGCAGTACGAGGAAAAGTCGAATGCGGCGCGGCTACCCGAGTGCGCGTCGTCGCCGCTCAAAGGAGCGATTCTGTTTTCACCCTCCACGTACCCGATCGAGCACCGCTGGATCAAGCGCAGCCAAGCCCGCGCCTTGCACGAGCTCAAAAAGACACAGGACGACGCGCCGCTGTACGACTACTTTCACACGTCGCCACCCAAGGTGCCCGAGGACGAGCGTTTGATTTGACTCCCCGCCCTTTAGTTGTTCTGGTTGTTCTTGCCATCAATAAACACGACTAAGGATGCTAACACGACATGGTTTCCTCGACACGCTAGCAAAGACGTCGGCTGTGTCGACTCATTTGCGCATCTCCAAATAAAAAGCGTTTCAACGGGTCAGTAAGCGTGATGAGTCATCTTGCACGTGCAAGATATGCACCTTGAATTAAAATATATGGAAGCGGACAGCCATTCGTCATTTGCTGGCACCCAACCTTGCCCCCCCATGGTACCGAGAGACCCCACGGACTCATAGAGCAGCAAAGTTAGTTCGTCGAGTACCAACGGCCGGGCGTTTAGCATAGGACAAGAAGGCGGCACTTACCACCCTAAAATGACCCCCTAGAAAGTCGTCACAACTTGTCTATTTTGGAGTGTGAAACGCTTGCCTTTTATAACGAAGTCGTCACTTCCGACGACGTCATGGCCGTGCTGAGCCGCCGCCCGACACTCAAGCGGCTTAAATCGCTTGAAGACGTCTTCGATGCGCTCGACGAGCAGCCGTCGCTCGTCGACACGGTCGTTGGCGCCAAGGCCAGCGTCCACAGTCCTCGGTCCTCGTCCAACTTTGACATTCGCCAGGCGTTGGCCAGCGTGCACCGCCAGGCTTCGTCATCCTCGCTGAACAGCAGCGGTCGCAAAGACGCGGTCCCGACCGTGCCGCGGCTGTTGGGGCACGCCAACAGTCTACGACGCGTCATCGAGCAGCTCGTTCACGACGGGTACATCCGCTACAAGCGTACGCATCAACGAGACTATGTGTGCAGCAGCAAACTAGGCGACGCCACGGGACCGTACGACCGCCAAGGCAACGAAGCGTACTACACTGACGTACTTCGTGCAACGTGCAGCGACATCACATACTCATGAACGCGAACAGGACAACGTGGCGCGCCGCTTGGGCATTCGGTATGACCCGATCCTGCTGCGGCTCACGCGTCAGTTTTGGGCTGCGGTCGTGCCGCCAACCAGAGATACCATGGACGTCGAGAGCTATCAGCGCCTCTATCTTCGCATTCACAAATACTTGATCGAGCGATATGACATTCGGGACTCGAAAGCCAAAATTCAAGTATGCCATTTGTCGAATTCGGATAAAATTCTCTATTTGCTAGGACGACTGGTTGCGCGACACCAACAACGACAGCAGTCCGCTCGACTACGAGCTCTTTCACCTTTCTCTCTTTGAGCTCATCGGTACGATGCGGTCACAGCGGTATCACCATTTTAGTTTATAGACTTGTGGTGCGACTCGCTCGATGCGAATGATGTACATTTGGAAAAAAATGTCTCTCGAGAGCGACACACACACTGTCTTAGTACGTCCGCCTCTTGTACGCGATCCTGGACGGCGTCTCGCATGTCGAGCACGGCCGCATTCACCTTCGCAAACTCCGTCGTGCGCGCCTCGTGGAGGCATAACCGACGCTAATTCAACTACACGGCGTAGACGTCCGCTTCCGCGACGTGGCCCTCGCTGTCAAGCGCGTGTCAACAGCCACTGTGCACTGGTATTTAGACGCCATGGACGCACTCCGCGTACCCGTCACGGCCAAGCTCGAACGCCAAAACCGCCTTTTGATTTCCAAGCCGGCAGCGACCCACCGGCGAAAAACTACGTTGGGGGCGATCCAACTGGCCCAACGGACGGGGCAGCCAGCACGTAGCAACAACAACCGAGCGTCGACACCGCCGGACGGCACCAAAGCCACCAGTGCAACGGCTAGCAGCCCGTCCCGACCGACATCATCGCCGCCAACGCGTGCGCGGGATCCCAAAGGCATTTTGTACGTCGACCTTCGGTCGCACGCCACCGACAACGCAAGCCCGCAAGCGCCAACCGACGCAACTGTGGGCGTTGAGCGTCCATCGACCGCACTGGGCGCGAGCAGTTCGAGTACGGCGACGCCGCAGCTTGACATTGCCGGCCGCTGCGCGCCCTTGAACGCGGCCAAGTCGCCACGCCGCAGCACGCTGACGAGCCGGCAACCTGAGGCGATTCCGCCGCTGAAAGACGCACTTATCCACCGCGCTGCGTCACGGCGCGACTCGGCCGAAGCGAATTCGGTGCGTCGTAGCCACGCGCGGGCCAAGCGCGAGCGGCGACGGACCCACAACGAGGACTTGAAGCGGGCGCCTCACTACGTACTAGACTCGTAGCTTGGCACCGATGACTCTATCAGCACATTTAGACCGTAGCGCCATTGCTTGATCTTGCTGCAGCGCTGCATGGCAGCCGATACTGGCGAGCGACCGAGCTGTCGTGGCGGAGGAGGTGGTTGGATCCCGCCTGCTGCATGATCATTGGCGCGTTCACATCCGGATACATTCCAAAAGCCAATCATCATCCTCTCTATCCGGATTGCTGAGGACCAATGGTAGCAACCTCAGTGCGTGCCAGAGGTCACAAGATCATGTCGACGACCAAGGCCGAGAAGTTCGTGCGCCTCCTGAGCGCCAAGCTCAATGAGCTGCCCCACCTGCCCTTCTCGCAGGCCGAGCTGCGCGAGAAGCTCGAGACCGCGGTCGCCTCGCTGCCCAACTCGGGCCTCAAGGGCCTCCTGCAGCGTGACATGGAGCACTACGTCGCGCTCTTTCAACAGACCGTGACTGCGACCGCGGCCGCGCCGGCCTCGGACCGCTGCCTCGCCGAGCAAGAGTACGACCTTCTTCTGCAGGCCACGCACGCGACCAAGCTCGTCGAGATGCCCGTGACGCCCGCCGAAGTCTTCTTCAACTACAGCGTGCCGACGACTCTCGATGCGTCGACCGCGTCGCCGACCGAGCTCGTTGACGCCGTCGCGCAGATCTGCACCACGCTGGCGCACGAGCTCGCGACAAACGGCCTTGCGTCCGCCTTGCCGTCGCTCCAGGAGCCTGGCCACGCCGTCGCGCTCTACGTCGCCAAGCTCTTGCCCCTGCTGCATGCGTATCTGGAGCGCATGGCGTCGCACACGGTGTTTGAGGCAAGCGACCGCCTCCAGTCGGTGCTGCTCGACACGCTGCGCCTTGTCGGCTTCCACCGGCCGCTGCCGACGCCATCGACGCCGTCGATCATCTCGTTCTACACGCCGGCGCCGACGACCGAGACATCGGCGTCGGCCGCCGAGACGCATGCCCTCGCGCAGCTCTACGCTGTCACGCTGACCCTCGTCCTTTTCTTCCCCGCGCCAACAAATACGTCGGCGGCCGTCGACTCGGACGACGACTCGGACGACGACGAACGAACGGTGACGACGTCGACGACGCCCGACGCGTTCGTCTGCGATCTGCTCGCGGTCGCGTACCTCGAGGCCAAGGGCTGGCTCATCGACGTGGTGCTCATGGCGCTGTCGCTGCCGCGGCCGGCGTCGGCTGTCGTCGCCAAGGACGCCCCGCTCACGCGCCTCGTGCTTCAGGCGCTGCGGACGATGACGTTCGACGTGGGTATGGGCCGCCAGGTCTTGCTGACGCACGTGGCGTGCCTCCGCAAGGCTCGCGTGTACCTCAAGGCTGCCCGCCTCGGCCAGTGCCACGAGCTCTCGAGCCTGATCACGCAGCTCACGAGCCTCCCGGTGCCCTTTAAGCTCCTCGACTGGCTGCGTCTTGTGGCGCTCAGTACGTCCTGCGATGTACTTTGCGCGTGCGAATTGAGTGTGTAGGCGGTCTCTCGGACGCGTTGCGGACGCAGGTCGAAGCGGTTTTGGCGGCCGAGAAGCCCCTTTGCGTCGACTTGCTCTCGCCCAAGTGGACGGACGACGACATTCTCGAGCTGCTCGAGGTGCGCCTCGCCATCGTCCTTTCTAGAGATGGCATGTCTCATACCTCTTTTTGACTAATAGAAAGTCCAGAGCCAGTCGTCGGTGGTCGAGTCGGGTGCGGACGCCGACGCGGTCGACGCCGAGACGCTCGCGGCGCCGGACGCCGACGTGCCGCTCTTCTACGTCGACAGCACGGGCGCCAACTAACTCTACTGAGTTCTTAGCCCACTTATTTGCCCTTACGATTTGCCTCCAAAACTAGTGTCTTTTTGTCCACAAACAACGCAGTACAGACAGAGCACACTCGTTGGTCAAGTCACATCAGCGAAACTTGTACCGAATGTAGGGCAGTTCGAGGTCTTCGCCGTCGAGGTCCGTCGCGCACACTTCGAGGATGAGGTACTTTTGGTTGGGTGGCAGCGCCTGCTTGGTGATCGACGTCACGAGCTCCGAAATCGGCATCGCCATGCGCTCCTTGGAGCGCGATTTGGCCGAGTACATGGCGTACAGAATCGTGACGCCGTACGACAGCATCGAGACTTCCGCGCCGTACGTCTCTTCAAAGTACGCTAGCAGCGCCTTGAGCGTCATGTCGCCCTGCGCCATCTCGAGCCGGTCCCACGCAGTCCACTTGTAGTCTTTCTCCATCAGCATCGTCGTCGTCACCTTGGGCGCAATGGGCTCGGAAAACGCAAAGAGCGGCAACGCGAGGTTCACAAAGCCATTCTTGTACGCTTCGAGCGGCTTCTTGAGGAAGACCTTGATGAGCTCCAGGCACACAAGACCAGTGACAAGCGCCGTCGTCGTCGCAATCGCCGGAATGATCTTGCCCGCGATGAAGCGCGACTGGTGCAAGTCGGCCTCCGGAATCTTGTACGCCCGCGCGCGGAGGTTGGACGTGGCGACAATCACGCGCATGTGCGCGTCATCGTCCTTGTCAAATTCGATCGGGTGCAGGCGCAGCGTCACCGACGCCGGCGGCGGCAGCGCCACATTGCCCGACGCGCCATCGTTGTTGCTCTTCATTTCTTCGTCGCTGGCCGCAATCTTGACGCCGTCCCGGGGCACAAACGCGGGGACGTGCACCTTCTGGAGGATCGACGCCCAGTCGCCAGTCACCGGGAGGCCATAGACCTGGGCGCGGGCGGCGGCGACCGACGCGATGAACTCGCCGTGCACCGGGTCACGCGGTGAAAACACAATCGGCGTCGGCGCGCGCTTCGGCCCCGACCAGAACGGCGTCCCGGTCGTCGTCACTTGGTCGAGCGGGAAGTTGTGCAGCAGTTGTTTGAGCGAGTTCGCAAAGAGCTCTTCAAACTCCAGCCGCGCGTACGCAACGCAGTCGTCGTAGGATGTTGGCGCCGCCTGAAGCGACGACGACAGGCGCGCAAACGTCTCGGCGCTCGCGTTCTGCGCGTGGAGCTTGGCGACAAAGTCGGGGGTCGACACGTAGGCGTTGACGTCGCTTGGCGACTGAAAGAACGTGCCTTCGAACCAATCGCGCGCCCACTGCAGCGTGTGCTCGATCGCGTTCGGGAAATTCTTGAGCGTGCAGATCGGGATGCTCTTCTCCGGCGGGTCGCGCGACGCACCATAGTTCTCCGTGGCATGCGGCACAACCACCTGCGTGTTGCCCTTCGTGCCGAGCGTCCCGGATTCGAGCATGGGCAGTCCATAAAAGAGGCACCGCGCGTCCATATAGAGGCGCGCCTGGACGTTGTCGAGTGCGGTGCAGACGCCCGAGAGCCGCTCGTAAAACGCATCGTCAAACAGCGCTTCCGTCTCGTCGCCGACGCGGGCAACGTGCGCCGAGACGCGAACCTCGGGGTTGATGCTGCGAATGGCCTTGGCCGCCGTCGTCGACTTGGCCGACCCGACGTCCGTGCTCCGGAAGAGAAACTGGCGGTTCAAGTTCGACTTTTCGATCAGGTCCATGTCGGTGAGATGAATGCCGCCGGCCGCCGACGTCCCGAGCCCCATGAGCGCCCAGTTCTTGAGCATTTCGCAGCCGATGGCTCCGGCGCCGACAAGGAAGAGGTTGAGGCCTTGGAGCATGCTCTGAATCGACTGGCCAAACACGGCAATCTGGCCGTCGTAGCGCGAGTCACGGGGCGCACACTCCTCGGCCGTCAACGGCGACGACGGCAGGCACTCCATCGCGTCAAAGTAGAACCACTGGTGGATCGGCGTAAACTTGCCCGAACACGCTTTCAGCGCTTCTTGGCCGACGATGCCACCGAGCAGCGCGGTCATGGGCGACACGACACCGCGCGCCGACCGCGCCAGCGCCCGGACGACCTCCTCATTTGCCTCGGTCCACTCGACCTCGATCGACTTGATGTTTTTGGCGAGCGCAAGCACCTGCGACGCCATGTCACTGTCGCCCGACGTCGGCAGCGCGCCGTTGGTCGCGGCAAACTGGTCGAGCGCCTGGAACGCCACATGGAGCACCTCGGAGCGACCGATCTTGGCAAAGTCGCTCAGGAGAAACTCGCCCGGCGTCTCGGTGGCCACATCCATGGGCGCAAAGGCGAGCGTGACCGGCTGCTTGACCTGCGTGACGTAGCCAAACGCGCCGGATGCAGTCGCACGGGACAGGTTGTCGATCGTAAACGTGTACGGACCCGTGACGGTGATCGGCACGGACGCGCACCCGTTGAGGTGGCTCAAGCCTTGGATCTCGCGGAAGGTTACGTGGTCGCCTGTCTCCATCTGGTGGCGCGCGTCGTCCGTGACCGTGATGAGGAGCTTGGCCTCGGTCAACGGCGAGACGGACGCGACCATGCACGTGATCGGCTGCTCGCCGTCCTTGTCCGCGACGACAAAGGCGTCGCCAAAGTCGCAAAAGACCGACCCAAACACACCACGGGCCTCGGTCGCAATGAACGCAATGTTGTGCTTGTGGCAGATCTGGTTGATCTGCGTCGCGTAGGCGCGCGACGCATTGCAGAGCACGACAACCTACGCAGCGTGAGACCTTATGTAGCATGGACCACATGACGTACGCGGAACTGCCCGAGGAAGGCCTCGTCAATGGCACCGACATGGTGGTGCACGGGCACGTACGGGTTGAGCTCGGCGAGCTTGCGCCAGCTGGCCTCGGCGCGCCCAACCTGGTTCTTGACATCGTCTTCGGTGATGTAGAACTGCGCCGAGAGGTCCATAAAGGTCGATGGCGCGTCGTCGGCAACGGTCACCGACTTGACGCCGGCGAGCACGATGTTCTTGGCGATCTCGATGCCGAGCCCGTCGAGGTTGAGGAGGAGGACGTTGGACTCGCCCATGCGCGCCTGAGCCTCGTGGCCCATGACGTAGAGCTGCCGGCTGTAGAGCCCCTCGTCGATCTTGGCGGCCATGGTTTCGACCTCTGCTTCACCACGCAATTTCGACACTGACCTGCATTTTGCCCTCTAGCATACAAAATCCAAGTGTATTTTTTAATAGGAATGGCATAAAAATACAAAATCTTGTTCAAGAATCCTCGGGCGTCGAGACGATGACGACGACGGCTGCTGCGCCGACGGCCTCGCGGAAGAGCTGCGCCATGAACAAGGCTGCGTCCATCGCAGGCCAAGACGCCATGGTCCATGCAAGGAACATTCATGTACGTATGATGCTATAGCTGCGTCCATGGACGAGCTCGGTCGGACGACGTCACGGTGGCGTCGACTGACGCGTTGGCCTCTGCATGGCTCTGCTCTCGAAAACCACGTCGACCATGGCGTGCTTGGCAGCGGCACGTAGTGCGCACACGCCAAAGACATGCAAGCATGACAAAGGACGTCGGCGCTTCATACGTCAACACGTTTGCTCAGGTCCGCGAGCAAAAGCTACGTTGGACGAGCTCGACACGAGGCCCAGATGCATCGCCGCAGCGCTGCGCTTGTCCGTGCAAAGATGGAACGATGGCATGTCTCCTAGTACAGCTTCATCAGAATGCATAGTAATGCGCGTGGCCTTCTCTGTCAACATGAGGGTGACCGGCTTCGCCACGTCGGTCATCAAACACCATGATCAGACACGCACGTCATTAAAAGAAAGAGGGATGCATTGTCAGTGCCACAAACTATTCTGTAATCTCAAACTTCTGTAAACGAATGTGACTGTTAAGCCTCTGCCCCCGCCGGGAGCGGAGCGAGTGCGTATCGATCTGGCGCGAAGCGCTGCACGGCAAAGGCGTGCACCAAGAGGCCGTGGAGTGCGTCATGGCTCTTTAAAGTGGATCCCGCGGCTTCTATTGGCTGAAAATGGCATGCTGACGGAATTTGGTGCGTTGATTGGCTACATTGCGCCGTGTTTGATGCTGTCGTTGCGGAGCTCGACCTCCCACCGGCGCAGCATGGGCACAGCTTTTTCCTGTGTGGCATTGACAATACTGGCAAAATTTGATCTCGGATATCAACCTTGCGCAAGTGCGCTTCGGCGGCGGCATCGCTGGCGCATCAACTGGTCATCCCGCGTGCTAGTCTACGCGAAGCGGTAGTCGAGTCGTCTCTCAAGAAAAGTGCGCTCTGGAACGTCGTCTCCGTTTTTCGCTTGATTCGGTTCATGCGCGCGGCCAACGATGATGCGTTGCCCCATCTCCTCTGTGGTGTCTGCAACGGCACGTACGGCAATGATGCCGTCGTCCGTGGCGGCTTCGGTGAAGAATAGATCTGCCTCTGGGAAGAAATCGTTATTGACGGTCAACTACGATGGGCTGAAGATACGCAACTCTGGCACGTTGTATACGGCGCGCAGCTGGAGCTCGGCCGCCACGGCCTGCAGCTTACAGGAGTCTTGATATACGGAGTGGTTCATGAATTTGAGGATGACACCGGTGCACGTTGTCAGCGCCTCGATCAGCAAGTCGGCCGCTGCGTAGTCCAAATTATTGCTGTCCAGGCATAGCTCAAATGGTCGGCGTCGGTGAGTATCACAGAGCGTCATGGCGATGACCGCGCCCATTATGTGGTCCACTTCGGTGCCATCCAGCACGAGGCGCTCGACACCAGCCGCCATCCATTGCCGAAGGCAGCGGCCAAATCGCAGCGGCGTTGCGAGCAGATCTTCAGCATGGCTGAGCGACACGCTTTGGAAGCATGGCGACTGCGACGCCCATGCGAGGAGATCCCACCCGGCGCCGTCGATCGTACATTGGTTCAAGCTCAAGGCCCGCAAGTGGCGAGGGGCGTCGATCGCATTTGGCATCGCATGCAGCGTGCACTTTTGCAACGTGAGGTCGCGCAGCATCAACATGCGCGGCAGCAGCGCCAGAACAAACGTATAGTCGGATGTGTCGTTCCCGATGAGCTCGAGCGCGCACAGCGTCGAGAGCGAGATCACGTTGGATAACAGTCGCACGTCGATATGGCCACTGTCTGTTTCAAGGCGCAGCTTTGTGATGTTGGGCAGTGGCACATTGGCATCGAGGAGGCCCCGAACGACACCGTCGACGCCCAACAGCGAGAGGCTCGTGAGCGATGAAGCGGCGGCAATCGCGCGCCCCAAGCTCGTATCGTGATTGAAATCGAGGCAGCGGAGCCCCAAGTGTTGCGCGCGACCCGAGGCGAGCCACGCTGTGAGAATTGGTAGCCAGCTCTCGCTTGCAAACGCATTGTTGTACGCTGCGGTAATCTCTATGCGCGTGACGGACTGCGCTGCGCACGCGATCGCAGCAGCAAACGGAGCGTCCCACGTGTGTACCTCGGTGCGAATACTGCTGAGGTTGTTGCAGTGAACAAGCATGCGACCAAAGACGTCCATGTGGTGCACGTTCGAGGAGACGCGAATGGACGTGATCTTGTAACCCCACTTGGCTGCAAAATGGATGATCGCCGTGGCGGGATAAATGGTCCCTAGGACGCCATTGAGCCGGTCAAGATTGTCGACCGAGATCGAGCTGAAGGCCGGCAGCGCAGTGAGCACAGTGGACGTGTATTGGCCATCAATGTCTTCGATGCACACCTGCGGCCAGTGGCTGTCGTCCAAGGCGCCAGGCGTAAGCAAGAGCGTCCGGAGCGCAGTTAGCGGCGCGTCGAGTGCATCACGTGGCAGCGCCTGAAGCAGCGAGAGAACGTCCTTTGTCGAGTCCAAGCACTGGGCGATGTGGACAAGGACGCCAGCGTGACCCACCGAGATCGGCGCTGCACACGGCCGCTTGGTCATGCTCATCACCACCAACTCGAACTTGGACGTACAATCCGGATATAACACTTGAGCTTGGCGTACCTTGATTGGACGAAATGAAATTTGACATGAGCTATGCAATGTGATTGGACGAACGGGCTGTTTGACCTTGGGCAAAGCGATCTTGTCCAACGGCAACCATTGCGCTCAATTCATCAGTGTCGCCGAGCCCGATGCCACGCGCGCAGTTGTGCGCCTATATGAGCCCGAGGGAATAATAACGTGTGGCAAGACGGGCGACAAGCTCTTGACGGGACTAGAACCAGTATTGAACGCTAACACGCCAGCAATCTGCCCTCTGAGACACTAAGAGGTAGATCACCCTGCGCCAAGACGCATAGCTTCCGTGATCACATCTTTTCCTCGCCCTCTCGAAGCTCACGACCACTGTCGTCGTGTCCCGCGTGGCGTCGATAATTCATCGTTGTGAGCAGTGAGCCGACTTCCGTTGACCCGAATGACCGCAGAGAGGGCGAGAGGATCGCGGGAGGGGGAGCTGTAGTGTGGAACTGCCGCAGCGTTTCGACGCCGAAGACGGCCTCCAATATGCACCGAGCCGCGTTCCGCTACCTCTGGCCAGTGCTCCGCGCCTGCGTCTGGTTCAACGTCTGGCGCGTCCGAAACGATCGCGTCTTTCGCGCCGACCTCCCACTGCCAAGTCCATGGACGGTTGCCGTCAAAGCGTGTCGCTCAAATGCACTTGCACCGCAGCCTCGTTCAATCACCAGGGCAGTTGGCTCTCCGTCGCCTTCTCCGGCTCCTCGCTCAACACGAGTGGCTGCGCCAGCACATTGTCCCGGGGATCGCGCTCCTGCCTCCGCCGGCCTAGATCAAGATCAACACCAGCGCCTACACGACGAAGAAAGTTGGACAATTTTATTTAGCGTAGATTTACGTACCTATTTTAATAGACGACCCACTTCAACAACAACAACTGGCGCAGCGTTTGGTTGTCCTACTGTCTACCCGAAGAAGCATCTGTTACGATGTTCCGTATGTTTGCTGATGCGTCCTCAGCCGTACAAACATGAAACCGCTTCGTACAGTATCACATCGGTAGACCGGAACAATATACACAAGCTCATTCGCACATGAAATCGCCGTCGACATGATAGACAACTCGGTACGGCTTCGATCACAAAATACGAGGCAAGACACTCATCACGTAAAACATATAGCCTTGTCCGAACTCGATCACAGAACGGATTCACAAGGACATTGGTTCAGTTCCTACCTTATCAGCATGTGATACGAGCACCTCTGTCGTCTGCAAGGTGGCATCCATACTGGTACATGTCGATACATTTTGCACTGCTGGACGCGTGTCGGTTGATGCGAGTAACTACATGTCCTGGCTCACTGATCACAGCGCCGTGTCCTGGCACACTGCTCTCTTTCGGGTGCTTTTAGGTACGACAATGCGAATGCAGCAAGGTTGACGATGAACCGTGGCGTGTTGGTCAACGCGCGTCCTACTTGCTTTGCAAAGTCATCGCAGACACATTGCCTCGTCTGCGACATGCAGCAATCCGGCCTCGTGACAGGTCGCGAGCGGCGTGGGGGCGCGTGCCCGAGACATGTGGCGCGTGCTGCCAGTCGTATGTCTCTACGCGCTTGATGTGCATGGCGTGTGTAACGACTCCTATCCTGTCCCCGTCAACAGCAATGCCGTCCATCAAGTGGTGCTTCAGGATGGCCTGTCTGTGATCGTCTTTCACCTCATTTCCAATTCCTCTTCCTCCTCGACAACCATGAAGGCTGCTCTCTTCTCCGCGACGCTCTTTGCCAGCGCGCTTCTCTCGGCCGCCGACCACGACGGCTGCGGCTCGGCCAGCGGCACCCCGACGATGGCCCCCACGACGCTGGCGCCGACGGCCGCGCCCACCAAGGCGCCCGCCCCGGGTGAGTGGGTGAGCCTCGGTGGCTTTGCCCACGAGATCTCGTTCGACGGCAAGAACGCCTGCGTCAAGACGGGCGACGGTGCGTTCTGCGGTCTCACGTCGCAGCAATTTGCGCAGTGGAAGAAGGTGGCGACGACCGTTGACCCGATCGAGCAGGTCGCGACGGCCAACGGCCTCGCCCTTGTCTGGGGCGGCGCGTCCGGTGCGCGCCTCATGCAGACGGTCGACTTGGCGTCGGGTGTGACCCACGACACGCCGCTTCGCGCGGACGAGTCGCCCCGTCAGTTCTCGACCGACGGCAAGACCGTCGTGGGCACCACCGACTCGCGCTTCTTTGGTGCGGCGATCACCAACGGCGCGATGGACTCGCCCGTGACGATCGCGGACAGCGACAGCTTGGATGTGTACAAGACCGCGATTGCCGGCAACGACGTGTACATCACCGACTACGAAGGCGTCGTCAAGTACTCGACGCTCGATTCGTCGGTCTGGACCGTGCGCCCGTTCGGCTACGTGGACACGGACTTTCGCGCGCGCGAGTTGGCGTCGGACGGCGTCGACCTGTGCGTGATCACGTACAGCCTCGAGATTGCGTGCGCCAAGCTGTCGACGGGCCTCGAGACGTGGGAGACGTACCCGGGCAAGTGGCAGGCGATCGCGGTCGCCAACAACACGCTCACGGCCGTGACGTTTGTGGACCGCGACATCCAGGTCACGCAGCTCAAGTAGACATTTCTCATCTGAAACGAGAGCATTGCATAGTAGAATATACACCGTCATTTTCGTACATCAATGAGTTGTGGCTCATGGTTTCATCGTTGCGCTCGCCAGTTCGCATCGAGTGTGGCGTACGGATTTGAGGGCAGTGCCAACAATGAAGACGTCGACGCCCAGAGGAAAGCGGCGTTGCTTGAGAAAATGCGAGTACACCCCCAGAAACATACTACAAACTACATAGGACGAACACGTAGCCGTAATACTAGAAGGAACCTCCTGGTTGGTGGCGTTGAAGTGGGTCGACAATCAAAATAGATGCGTAAATCTACGCCGAATAAAAATTGTCGGACTTTCATAGTTGTGTATGCTCAGTAGTCGAACTTGATCGAGGCAGGCTGAGGCACAAGCGCGATCTCGGTTTGAGTGAGGCTGTGGTGCAAGTGCAGTTGAGTGATCGGTCTCACTGCAAAGAGACTCTGCATTCATCGACGTACACGGAAAATTCACTTCACGACCGTTTGGCCACTGCACCACGAGGCTTTGCGCTGGTGTCGACCTTTCTTCGGGCAAAATACTGCTTCCAGATGCCGGCATTGTCGGGTGCTCGTCGCTCCAGATATTAGCGATCTGGCAATTTGACGCGCTCATGGAAAAAGTGAATTTGTCGCTGCACCAGAATCTAGACGTGTGGCACCAACTTCGCAATCGCGTGTTCAAGGTCATCACCTTCTACACGCAGTTTGTGTCGGCGCTCATGTCGATTGCTCTCGTGCAGCTCGCGGTCACAGTCGGTGGCCTGGTCGTCTACTGCCTACCTGGCTACAACCTTTTGATTCTGATGCTGGTCGGGTCGCTCTCAACACTGGTGTTTCTCTTGCCATTGGCCAAGGCGCTCGACATTCAAGCCAATCACGAGTCGATGCTCCACGCCTTGGTACTGCGTTTGCACCATGAACGAGGGCGTCGCGCCAAGGTCGATCGACTGAGCATGATGGCATGTTTGTCGCAGCTCATTCCGCTGGTCGGACTTAACGACGACCGGATTCGCTTTTGGGGCATCGAGCTCTCGACGGCACGCCTCGTTGGACTCACTTTTTCGATTGGGTCGGGTTTATCGGTGGTCTTTTCCCGCACCGTATACCACAGCTGGTCGGAGCCTCTGTATGGCACGTAGGCGAACCAAAGTAACAATAACATGCACGGTTGCGAGTGGCAGTGCCATCGCGAACTGCGAAATGGAGTTGCCAGTGAAGACCTGACGCTCGTCACCTAACCCCTTTAAGTATTGCACATGCCAAGTCCGTTTACGCAACTACACCGAGGCCGAAGGCCCTCTAGACCATATACTACTTACGATCTCGGGGGCAAGTTGGACACCTTGACCTTGTAGCCCACGTATGTGGTGATGTGGTCTGCACATCCCAATGACGGTCGTGGCGTGCCCCAGTACAACTGTAGGCTGTAGGGAATAGAAACGCAGTATAGGCAGTTGCTGTGCGAAGATAACCAGAGTCAAATATACCCGGAACCCCATACATTGCGTCCACGGCGACGACCACTTCACGACACGTACAGTGAAAGCTCACCTACACTCAGCCCAACGCGTTGCTTGACGCTCGCTGCTATGAACAGTACCTTGGATGCAGCTATGTAGTACTAGGATAAAACGCTGTGCATTAGAAACGAAGGATGCCTTGGGTGATTTGCGGCGTGTTGATGAGCGGGTCCAGCGCATCTCTGTACGTGCTGCCAAACAAATCAAGGCCATTGAGATTCGACCACGTGATGGGCACAACACGAAAAGCCACAAACGAGAGAAGCGACGCCAAGGTCGCTCCGAGCGTTGCGAGTCGCGCGAGTGAAATTTCAATCCCAAAAAACGACAGACGGTCGTCATGGTGCTCGATCGCGTCAATGATGGTCTCGAACATGGCTATGCGCGCGGGAAACCCCGTGGCGTCCCCTGACTGCACAGCTTTTTGGCGCTGAAACTCGAGCTCGAGCAAGTGCGTTCGCAGCATCCCGCTGTGTTTGCCTTGAATGTCGAGCGCGGCGGCCAGTGGCACGAGCATCGTCAGCGTCGAGAGCGAGCCAAAGAGGCCAATCAAAAGTAAAAAGTACGTGGGCAGTGGCGCCGAGCCTGAAATGCAGTAGACTAGAATGCCGGCGGCCGTACACGCAAACTGGAGCAGCGCGCCGCAGATAAACACGCTCGTAAAATCCGCAATGAGCGCCGTGGCCGCTCGGACGCCGTTGCGGAGTGTGAACCACGCATGGACGTTCTCGCCCTCCGTGAGCGCAATGACCGTGCGCCCTTTCAGCGGGAGGTCGAGTCCGAATGCGGATATCGTATCGAAGCGCAGCCAGAGCGACCAAATCTTGCACGAGCTCGCAAACAAGAGCATCGTGATGGACGCCAGCTGCATGAGGTACTTGACCGCGAGTATGAGCTGCAGGATACCCACTGGCGCGTAGACTGCACCCAAGTAGTTGGTGAATGCGCTGAGCGACACGGACTCGAACGCGACATGCCAGTTGAGGTCCAGTTCGAGGACGTCGTTGCACGTCATTGGAAACCGAGCGCGCAGCGTGAGCGCTGACTGCATGTCATCGAGTGCGATGGTCACATTGCGCGCGCGCACCTGCTGGATGTTGACGTCCCACAAAGAAACGAGCTCAAAGGTTGTGTTGAAGGTAGCGATCGAGCTGTTGGACGTGAAGCCAAACGTGATGTGCGGACTGCCTCTCGGCACCGGATCGACCCACAAATTGATCAACGCGTCCACCGTGGTTGCAGATACGTTGGTGCAAGCCGGTACGCTGAACATCACCGCGTACATGGTGTCCTTTGGCGACGTGACGAGACCGTTCACGCCCGGCAAGAGCACGCTTATGGGCATTGCGCCGCCGGGCCACGAGACCACCAAAATTTCGTTGAGAAAAATCGTGACGCAAATGAAGAGAAGCACGTAATGCAACGGCGACGAGAGCCGCTGTCGCTCGTACTGGGCGATACTGTCGGCTTCAAAGGCTGCCGCGACGTGCGCCGATGGCACGGGCGTCCCGTCGGCTGCGATAAAGCGTAAGGTGGTAACGTCAATCTCGGCTGCCTCGGCTGCAAAGTGCACCAAAAGGGCGTGCGACGACGCCCGACTGAGCCGCCGTAGCATATTGTGGATCGCAAAGAGGGGCGATAGAAGTGCCTCGAAGAGCGACTCGCAATCGGTCGGCGGATCGATGAGGTACATGACAAAAAACACGAGTGTGTAGATCTCCAAGAGTCCCCAAAACACGATTTGGGACCGGAACGGGCAAGTTAAAATGAGCAGCACGAGGACGCCCGACAAGTAGATACCAAAGACAAATAGCGCAACCTTGTCGAGGCCGCGCCAAATGGCCAGTGGACGTCCGAGCACCCAATGCAGTGACGCCGACGAGACGTTGCACGCCGACAGGACACCGAGGAGCGGCATTGCCACCGGCGATAGTATGAGTATCCCGACAATCCACGGCCCGTCATTGCGCCACCGGTGCACTACGTTCTGGTAGCCTTGGAGACGCATGCGACTCGTCTCGGTCAGCGGTGGAAACTCGCTCGCTGCCTTCGTGGTGAAGGCGTCTGGTGCCTCGTACGTGTGCTTGCAGGCCGCGAAGCACGACGCACACACCGTAAAGTCCGGGGCGCCGGGGCGCAAGAGAATGTACACGGTACCTTCAATGCTCTTTCGCTCCCACACCAAGTCGCAAGGCGTCTCGTTGCAAAAGATTTGACGAGGACGGCCCGTTGGTAGTGGTCGAGTGTCTTCATCAACAACGTCGGACGATGCGGGCTCGGACGCGTCGGCCTGCTCATTGCTCGTCGCATTTGCCAGCCGATGCGCCACCAAGTAGGCAGCAATGAGATCGTCTGCGTTGTCAAACGACAGAATCTCCCTTTCGGACGGCGTAAGCTCGTAGTGGCGGCTGTCCTCGTCGTCGTCGTCGTCGTCGTTGGTGACGGATGCTGCGTCCTTGGGTGCCTCGTGGCCGTCGGGAGCACCGTCATCGGAAGTGGCGATCTCGCCACTCGAACGACTGGCTGCATCGTCGTCATTGCCTTGACCCGCCGTCACGCGTTTCAACGTTTCTTGCTCGGAGATGGTCAGCTCAAACTCGGAGCCACCACGGACGTCGGCACTGGATGACGCAGACGACGTGCGGGAGCGCGAGGCCATATCGTTTTTGATGTACGTACTTGCTACCAGTATGAGCTGCAGCCGTTACTGCAGCTCTATAAAACCGTGTTGTTCTACTGGGAACGCCTCGTGGCGCGACATTGTGGGACGACGGTGACGCTTGGCTCGTG